GATTATCTGACCCAGTAAGTAGCCACCCCGATAAACAAACCCAAGTTACTCTTCCCCCTGCCCTACCTCCAGCTACTGGACAGTCTGTCCGACCTTCCCAGCCATGTCAGCATTGTGGTCGCTCACATGGTGACCTACTCTGTCGACGTATCAATCACACCTGCTATCAGTGCAGTAGCGCCCAGCACCTTATAAAGAACTACTCTCAACAACCGAAAGACATGGTCAGTCTTTCGGTCGTACCTGTGGCCTAGGGTCGTGTGTACTACATAGATGAACTCGGTCCTCTCCCCACTCCCGTCCTTATACAGGGTATGCTTTCTATTCATGATGCTTTTGTCAAGGGTTTGATCGATACAGGTACTACTCATTCTTTTATCTCCTGTGTATTTACTTGTAAACTAGATATTAGGCCGAAACCTTTAAAGGAAATATTAACGGTAGAGACTCCCTCTAAGAAATTAATAGAAGCTCACTGTGCATATAAAGATTATAAGATAAAATCTTCGAAAATATAAGTATTTGTAGACTTAATATATTAGACTTCTTAGGATTTGACGTGATTCTAGAAATAAACTAATTAGAAAAGTATAAAGTAATTATTGATTGTGAAATTAAAATTGTAACCTAATGATCCTCGAAAAAGAAATAAAATCTATTTTTTCCTTTTTATCTTTCGTAACAATGGAATAAACAGTAATATGGATGGTGATCCTGTTGTGTATGGCATACCAGTTGTTTGTAACTTTTCGGAAGTTTTTTCCGTCGAACTACCTGGTTTGCCTCCTCCGCAAGAGGTAGAATTTTTAATCGAACTGCTACCCAGAACCCAACCAACCTCGAAACCTGCCTATCGCATGAGTCGTGCTGAGCTCACGGAACTAGAAAACCAGCTTTCTGAGCTGCTTGGTTAGAAGTTTATTCAACCTACTCATTCCCTTTGGGGCGCTCCGGTATTATTCATGAAAAAAAAAGAATGGCTCCCTCAGACTATACATGGGCTCCAGGGAACTCAATCGAGTAACAGTAAAAAACAATTACCCCTTACCTCGAATCGACAATCTTTTTGACCAATTGCAAAGAGTCATGATCTTCTCTAAGATTGGGATATTACCAACTGAAAGTCAAAGAAGAAGATATTCCGAAGACCATTTTTCAGTGTAAATACGATCTGTACGAGTTCATGGTGACGCCATTCAGGTTAACTAATGCTCCTACTGTCTTCATGGACCTCATGAACAGAGTTTTCCAACATGCACTAAATCAGTATGTCATCGTATTCATTGATGACATCTTAGTATACTTCAAGAGCCCAGAGGATCATGTGGTCCACTTGTCTGAAGTGTTGGGAACACTTCACCAGAACCAGCTTTATGCTAAACTTAACAAATGCTTCTTCTGGTTGGATTGAGTTTCCTTCCTCGATCATGTAATTTCGAGTGAAGATATTTCCGTGGATCCAACCAATGTTGAAACAATGATCAACTAGAATCCATCCACTAATATGGCCGAGGTACGTAGTTTTTTTGGCTTGACAGGTTACTGTCGGCAATTCATCGACGACTTCTCTAAGATTGTTGCTCCTTTCACTCGACTCACTCGAAAGGACGTACCATTTGTCTGAAATTATGAATGCAGCGAAAGATTTATGGAATTAGAGCGTCGTCTTACCTCTGTTCCAATGTTGATCCTCCCTGATAACACTGAAAAATTTCAGATTTACTACGATGCATCTCATATTGTCTTGGGATACTTTTTGATGCAGCCATGTTAGAGTGATCGTTTATGGATCCCGACAGTTGAAACCTCATTAGCGAAACTATCTTACTCACGACCTAGAATTGGCGGCCATCATCTTTGCCTTGAATATATAGCGTCATTAGCTGTTTGGTAAGACCTTTGAGATTACACTGACCACAAAAATTTGAAGTACATCTTCTCGTAAAGAGAATTGAACATGAGACAGAGACGCTGGATGGATCTCCAGAAGACTATGACTGTAAGATCATCCACCACCCTGGTAGAAGGAATGTAGTTGCTGATACACTGAGCCGAAATAAGTCCGCAATGTTGGCCCAAACCATGGCTTCCAATTGGAAGTTAGTAGAAGCTATGCAGTCACTCCGCTTCAGCTACTATGGTGAAAGTACCTATCTCGCTCAGATTCGAGTCTTGTCTGATCTTTTCATGAAGATATGGGAAGTTTGCTCCGCAGACCAAGAACTCACCAAGAATCTGAGTAAGTTCTCTTCTGACGAATTTCTTAATCTCAGGATTTCAAATGCTGAGTTGTTTAGATTTCGGAACCGAATTTGGGTTCATGTCGCTGTCAGGACAGATGTTCTCAAGGCTGTCCATGCCTCCAAACTAACCATCCATATCGGGAGAACCAAAATGTATCGGAACCTGAAGCGCCAATACTGGTGGCCGGAAATGAAGAATGACATTGTTAAATAGGTATTGTGATTCCTTACTTGCCAGATGATTAAAGCAG